ACACACAAAAGACAAAGATCACCTGTATAGCCTTAACAGACTGTTGGGGCAAGTGCTGTTAGCGAGCAGCTATGTAGGCTGGCAGGGCACACGAGGGGATGGTTGGGCAACACGACGCCCGGCCGCCTTTGTCTCCCCAGTGGTGATGTTTACACACCGCACCAGGTACTCATTTGAGGACGAGTCGACACACACAGTGCTTAAGCACACGCTTTCACCTGTACTCAAACTATCGATATTCCAATCAACTTGTAATGCAAATGAACGACACCCACAGTATTCAAATAAAACGGGAGAATTGGGAAATCCTGTTTCCTTAATCCGCTTGTACTTAAGCTGCACTCTATGTAAGACAAAACAAACCCCGCCCCCCCCCCCCCACACCGTCTCCCCAAAACCAACAAAAACAACCACACAAATTCATATTATTTGGGTCTTTCAGTAAAGTCACCTAGATAGACAAAAATAGTAACAATAAAATAATAAAAACGAAAATAAAGCGATTAAAAAATATTTGTTTTTATTTTTCTAACTACGTTGCTTTACCGAAAGACCCAACGAATATGAATTCCTGCAGTCACGAAAGCTTCAAGTCAATATTTAACCGCACACATACAATGCACATCAAAAACAAATGCACACTGAATTCCCGCATCGCGGATTCTGTACCCACCCTCGTATTCAACCGGGGGTGGAGGGGGGGGAGAGTACCGTCGCTCACTCGCTGTGTTCAAGTCATTTCCTACTCATTGTCATGATAAGAGAGCGGTCGGGTTAAAATGCTTTCACCATTTGGACCGCCGGCCCCTTAATCTCGCTAACGCGGCGGGCAAACAAGCCCACAGCCCTTCGCTTTGTGTCCGCCTGCGGCACGATGTCTTACAGGAAGGATTGTCACCCGTGTGGATTATTCTACAACAGAACACCCCCCCCCCATCCATTGTTCCATCGCGTGGGACTATCCTTTAGACTTGACTGCGACCACAGATTGAGCGAAGTTTGATCGAGGTACTTTTATTTGATTGTGGTAATTGTTTTCTCCCCCGTTTATATTTCTACCTGTGTGCGGGGGTAATTATTGTTATAATTGTGGGTAGCGGTAGTGGAGTTATGTGCACACTGCACCACGAACCCAGCCACCCGGGTTCGATCCCCGCTCACGGTGGTGACGACTATCTAAGCCGGTCCTAGGCCTCCCCTAGGTCGACTCGGCGCCAAATGAGTACCTGGTGCGCTGTGTAAACATCACCACTGGAGAGGCAAAGGCGGCCGGGCGTGGTGTTGGCCACCCACCCCCCTCGTGTGCCGCCTACTCGTACATCACTTATCCCAAAAGCCTGTGAAGTATATACCGTTGTTTTTGTCCTTGTGTGTGTCATACTAGTTTGCGTAACGCACAATGAGCCCGACCACATGGGTTCGAAACCCGACTACGGCTAATACCAATAATGTTTGGTATCAGAGTGAGTCTCTTCAAATGTGTCTTGGGGTAAATGATCAAGTGTGTCTGAGTAAAACCTCAACAAGAAAATACGCTTACACTGTGTACACACGTTACACTGCGATTCAAATGAATCCAAACTCATATTTTAAAACAGCTCGACCAATAGTTGAAACGGAAGGTACAAGCATACTCACGGCTGGACAAAGTTGTATGCACGTTTTAAAACTAAAGATTAACTAAAGCACTGCATCTCTACAGAACACTAAGTAAAAGTCACATGACGCCGCCGGCCGACGTGGAAGAGTAGACCAAGTAACAATCGATAGCGGCCTCTAGTGGTGGCCCTTACGCCAGCAGAGGAATTGAGCGAGCAGTTACCCTTTTGAGCCCAATAATTTTTGAAGTAGGCTTATACAGTCTATAATACAGTCTATAATAATAATACGTTACATTCATACTATATTTCACTGCATTGCCTCGGCAGCAATTCAAAGCCGCCTTCCATCACATTGCATCTCAAACAATTCGAAGGGCACCCCACGCACACAGTGGCAGCTGCCCCTGTGTGGCATGAGGAGACTCGGCACCTATCCTAACAAGAGGGGGCATTCGTCTGTAAAGAGGGGGAATGGGTGTGGGGCGATTATTGCTATTTGAAAATCCTAACTGAGTATGTATATTTTTTTGGTTAAATCTAGAAAACCGTCGATCTCTGTATTGAAAGTGTAGGGCGCAAACAATGAAACCGCGCGGCACGGCATCCGTGTTCTATAGCAAATGCATCGGCGTTTAATTTCACGTGACTATCAGAGGTGCGTGCATCCGGCACCCAACGATTGCACGTGGCACTCGCGCTGTTTTATTTATGCACGTATTTATTCGCCTGTGTTTCGTCTACCACAGGTTTAGGAACAACGTGGTGTTACCTATGGCTACATTCCTGGAGGGCCCACCGCTGCATTCTCTCCCTTCAATATCGACGTATGCGTCTGCGTTGTTACAGCTGTTGCTGCTGCTGCTGCTTTGGTCTTTATTTTATTTCAACCGCCACGATATAACCAGCTTCCAGCCACAGCACGAGAGTGCATATCCCCAAGCACATTCTCGTGCTAAATTTCCAATTATCCAGTCCACCCATAAATGACCTCGCGATACCTGTTGGCATTCACGAAACCGCCGCCTCACTCCGAAAGGAAGCAACCACAGCATTCTATCGAGGCACACAGCTGTTGTCATCATCCCACGAATGCAACCCTCACCACCGGATTGTGTAAGTAGGCGCGAACCACCCCGGCGAACCCCATCATTGCCCAATTCTTTCGCACGCTACTTGTGAACAAACGAACAAACGAACAAGTCCCGGCTAAACTGTCGAAACGGCCATCACCCCTGGCGAGCAAATCAAAGGCGCTTGGACTTAATTCACTCGATTCGTAGATGACAACACGACGGTCGAAGCCCGGGCACTGCGACTGAAGATCAACAAATCGCATGGACGCCGCGGGTGACTCGCACACAAACGTTCGATCCCCTCCGCAAAGTAACGCATTGTCTGACCATGATGATGCTGATGCTGCTGCTGGTAGTGGTGCAACAAAATCATAGACTCGGACACGCTCATCAACGATACTGCGGTCTTCAAAAGAAGAGAGGAAAAACAAACCCGATATTATTATTATTGTAGGCGACGTTCCGTGCAATGGTCCTCATTCACTGCAGGCACATACTTCATTGCACAAATGATGGAACATCTGAGCGGACAACTGTCCACAGTTACTCACCACCCCCCACCCTCCCCCGAAGATTCACTTTGTATCTCCCCGACGCCTTTGGCCGCATATCACTACCATCACCATTATCTAACATAATAACTATACAACGTCGCTATTCTTCCGAACGACAACAACATCGTCATCATCATCAGTCAGATAATGAACGCGTGTGTCATCCAACCCCCCTGAAGATTCACTCAGCGTCTTCCCGAATCCTTTGACCGCACATCACCATCATCACCACAATCATCATCGAGCATCATAACTATAAAACGTCGCTATTCCTCCAGTCGACGTCGACGACATCATCATCATCATCATCAGTCAGAGAATGAACGCGCGTGTCGCATGCCACACACCAACGCGCCAGAACAATGAACCGATTTGTTGCTGTATACTCAGCCACCAATAGGCGAGTGCTGCGAGACACCAGAAATGTTGGGGTGTGGGAGGCCGTTGGGGGGGTTGGGGGTAAGCATTGGGGAGTGGTGGTGGTTGTATTGGGTTGGACGGTCGATGGGAGGTGGTGGGGGGTGGGGGTTGATGTCCTTTGTATAGGCTGGTATACGAGGCTGTGGGTGGCATGTTTATCCTTCCGCCTACTCGCTAAATGTGCTCCCCATTTCAATGCTAAACGCGTGATGCACGAGGGCCAGGGGGCAGGTTCGCATGAGCGCGGGTAGCTGCTGCGCAGAGGCGCACGCCGGGAGTCGTGCTGGTTGCAGCGCAGTGGTCGCGGCGCTGAGAGTTTGACGAGATCGTCACGTGGCGAGACCCAAAATAAACAGAGCTCCATGATGAAGATCGCGCCTGCCGCTTGGCTGCCCTCGCCGCCGTGAAAGGCAGCGGAGAGGGCTCGCGCCGCGCCGTCTTCTCTCAAAAGCGAGCCGCCGCTGGCCAAAGCCGTAAGCGTCATCTTCTTAACGCCGTTACCACCACCACCACCGCGTAACCGGCTCCGTTGCTGCTACATCTACTACTACCACCACCAGCAACACGATCACTTCTGCTAACATCTTCTATCCTGCCATCATCCTGTACCCCCGCCCCTTCTATAACCATCCCTCCTCCTCCCCTCCACCCCTACCACCACCCAACTCGCCTTTCCTTTCTTCCTTCTCCTTTCCACACTTGACTCTCTCTCTCTCTGACTCTCACTCACACATTACCTCTCTCTTGCTCTGACTCTCACTCACACATTATCTCGCTCTGACTCTCACTCACACATTATCTCTCTCTCTGACTCTCACTCACACATTATCTCTCTCTATCTCTCTCTGACTCTCACTCACACATGATCTCTCTCTATCTCTCTCTGACTCTCACTCACACATTATCTCTCTCTATCTCTCTCTGACTCTCACTCACACATTATCTCTCTCTATCTCTCTCTGACTCTCACTCACATATTATCTCTCTCTATCTCTCTCTGACTCTCACTCACACATTATCTATCTCTATCTCTCTCTGACTCTCACTCACATATTATCTCTCTCTGACCCTCACTCACACATTATCTCTCTCCCTCGCTCTGACTCTCACTCACATATTATCTCTCTCTGACTCTCACTCACACATTATCTCTCTCCCTCGCTCTGACTCTCACTCACATGTTATCTCTCTATTGCTCTGACTCTCACTCACACATTATCTCTCTCTGACTCTCACTCACACATTATCTATCTCTCTCTATCGCTCTGACTCTCACTCACTCATTATCTCCCTCTCTCTCCCTCGCTCTGACTCTCACTCACACATTATCTCTCTCTCTTGCTCTGACTCTCACTCACACATTATCTCTATCTCTCCCTCGCTCTGACTCTCACTCACATATTATCTCTCGTGCGCTCCCTCCCTCCGTTTCTGCAAATATTCGCCACACTGGGCAGTCAATCTGATAACGAGAAAGTGCCGCCTCAACAAAGCCGAGCACCGCGCGTGAAGACGGCAAGCCGGCGGGCAGATAGGGCACCGTTTTGTCAGAGCGAGTGAGAGGCGAGTAGGGCAGAGCGCGAGAGAGAAAGTGAAACGGGCGGTGGTGAAGAGCGCAGATAAATCCGTACGATAACGAGAGGAGCGCGCAAGAGCAGGAGGAGGAGGAGCAGGAAGCGAGCCAGAGACAGGGAACGAAAGCGCCGCTTTGCCACAGTAAACTTTGCGCGCATCAGCACGCGGATCGCGCTGCTGTGCCATCAGCGCCCGCGCCGCGTCGCGAATGTAACCGGACCCCGTGTTTATCCACCCTCGCGGCGAGCCGACGTGAGGCTAAAATCTCCCAACCTTTTTTTTTTCTCTGTTGGGGTTGGAAGGGAGAGGGAGGGTGGGGTGGTGGTGGTGTGCTGCTTCGTAATTTGGAGGGAGATCGGAAATATATATATATATTTGTGGACACATGACGCTCTCCGGCACCACGAGCAGCTGTAGCGGCGGCGGCGGTGGAGGAGTTGGTGGTGGTGGTGGTGGAGTAGTTGGTGGTGGAGGAGTTGGTGGTGGTGGTGGTGTCGGTGGTGGCGTTGGATGCGGGATGTCTGCGCATACCGTGCTGCATCTCGCCGACGACGCGGACATCGACGTGGTGGGAGAGGAGGAGGAAGAGGAGGAAGACGAGGAGGAGGAAGAGGAGGACGACGATGAGAGGCGAGCGACGTCGCGGAACCCCGCGCGAGACGGGCAACTTCGCGCCGAGGACATCCGCGACGTGGTGGCCGGAATGGGACGGGTCGAGGCGAGTCCGGCATCAGACGTCAGCGGCGTCGTTGACGTTAAGGCGGCGGCGGCAGCAGCAGCAGCAGCCGGGTGCAGCAGCAGTAGCAGCAGCAGCAGCATCAGCAGCAGCGGTATCGGCACGACAGCCATCGCCGGTGCTGTTGGCGGCACGGCCGGTTCAGCGAAACCCAAAGCCGCGTTGGTGAAGCCGCCCTACTCGTACATCGCGCTCATCACCATGTCCATCCTGCAGAGCCCGCAGAAGAAGCTGACGCTGAGCGGCATCTGCGACTTCATCAGCAACCGCTTCCCCTACTACCGCGAGAAGTTCCCCGCGTGGCAGAACTCGATCCGCCACAATTTGTCGCTCAACGACTGCTTCGTGAAGATCCCGCGCGAGCCGGGCAACCCGGGCAAGGGCAACTACTGGACCCTCGACCCGGCGTCCGAGGACATGTTCGACAACGGCTCCTTCCTGCGCCGACGCAAGCGCTTCAAGCGGCAGCCGCCCGAGCACCTTCGTGAGCAGGCGGCCTTCATGATGCACGGCCTGGGCGCCTACGGACTCGGCGCGTCCCCCTACGGCCGCGCCTACGGTCTGCACGCCGGGCCGCACGGCTACGCTCACCCCGTGGCGTTGCACCACCAGTACTCGCCCTACGTGTCCCCCGTGGGGGCCCTGCTGCCGCCGGCGGTGCCTCTGCTGCAGGCCGGCGAGCTGAGCCTCAACAAGGCGTTCAACGCGCAGCTGGGTCCCGCCTTGCAGATGCAGTTGGGGTCGGCGGCGGCGGCTGCTGCTGCGGCTGCGGCCGCGCTCGATCGCAGCGCCGGAGAATCGTTCGGCGGTGGTGCCGGCGGTCGTAAGTCGGAGCAGGCGGCGACGGCCGCGGTGGCCGTCGCCGCCGCTGCCGCTGCTGCGGCGGCGGCGTCTGTCGGGGTGAGCCGACCCTCGTTCAGCATCGAGAGCATCATCGCGGCGACCAGTAGCGCCGCCGCCGCCGCCGTGTCTCCAAGCGCGGCGCACGTGGCGTTCGCCGCGCAGGTTCAGCACCATCATCATCAGCAGCAGCAGCATCATCAGCAGCAGCATCACCAGCAGCAGCAGCAGAGGCTGTGCGGCGTGCAGCCTTCGGGCAGAGTGGCCCATCACGCAGACCTGCCGCCGGGCACTCTGTCGCTGGGTCTGGGGCCCGCGAGCCTCTCGGTTCACGGCAGCGGCCTCATCCCGGGACACTTGCAGGCCACGCCGGTCACCAGCGCAAACGCGATCATCAAGTGGTAACTCGCAACCACCCCCCCCCCCCCCCCCTACTGTTCGAGTCCACAGACAGCGGAGTTAGTCTACGGACGCGCATCTGAGTTAACCTACGGGCGCGCAACCTGAGTGAGTCTACGGGCAACTGAGTTACTCCATGTGTTGCGCGGCTGTGTTAACACAGAGCCACGCGTGTCGCGTTTCGGGGAGGGCTAATTGCGATGGTGGCGTTTTGTTTGTTTGTTTTTCGACTAAACGCAAATGTGTTGCCTCTTGTTTACTTATTTATTGTCTCACTGGTGTAAAGAAAAAAAAGTCTCATTGAGATATCGGGGGAAAATATATCAGGAGGGGTTCATGCTCCACTGGGATATTTCCGGAGAGAGCTCGGGGGAGGAAGGGGGAGGGGGGTGGGCGACGACATCCACGGTGTCCGCACGGATGGGTTGTCGAACACACTTACTGCACCACCGTCGTCTGGCCGGCTCCTCGCGGCCCATCGGCGGCGGGTCTGCGGAGTGTCTCCGACCTCTAACGTGCCCACAAACGCTGGCCCACCGAGGCGTAAATGTAAATAATAAATATATAGATATAACAAAAAAATATATATACCATTGGTAACCTATACTAATTTGCAAACGGTCGTCGCATTAATTCACTTTTATTACAAGTTGTCCTATGGATGACTAACCCCAGTCATAGTAACGTGGAATTCCCACCAACGGCACAGCAATGATGAATGCCGACTCGGAGCTCGTTCGAGCCGAGAAACGTGTTGAGTTTTTTTTTTAAATTTTAAATCTACATCAACAATTCTGCTTTCAAATTACAAATTCTTACTTCATCAGTACCATCATGAGCATTATCAGCAGCAGCAGCAGCGCCGCACAGGGATACCTTCGCATATTTTATTTTACATATACATCAACAAGTCCGCTCACCTGTTCGTTAACTCCTGCATCATAACAACAACAAATCAGCACCATCAGCAGCAGCAATAACAGCGTCATATGAAAACCATCGTCGCGTGTAAAGAAATGTGCGCTACCGCCACGATACATGGGCAATCACTGTACGTGACACGAATTTCAGTTCCTCCTTTGGCCCGTGGATTCCTTTATCAAACTTTCGTTTGATTTTGACGCCCGCTGAGCGTGATTGTATGTTGTTGTCTTTTTGTATTTGACCTTGCATCCAGTTTGTACACTCTCCCGAACTCTCACACTTTTGCAGGAATATTTAACGCAGCTCTCCGACGTTTTTGTTGTTTTACGGCTTGGTACCGCGTCGTGAGCGGTTCGAAAACAATGTCCGACGTTCCGCTCCACGTGCTGGGAGAGCTTTTTTCAGAAAGCGCTCGCGAGCCGCTGGCGTATTCTCCCAACATTGCATACATAGTATACGTATATATCAATTGAGCGGCTACGTTCAGTTCCTCGCGAAGCTCCCAGCGCGCAGAGTAAAACGTCGGACACCGCGCGGAACAATGCGCGTCGCATCCAGAAAACATCGGAGAGCCGCACAGCGCAAACGCGACCGTTTTCCTGAATGCGAATTGTATCCCGAATTGGTAAAATTTATTTTCTAACGCAGCCAGTCTCCTTCGCGGGCAAAAACAAAACAAAAAATGTCTGGGGTAAAACAAATTGTAACGAAATCACATTCCTGTTACGTATCTTCACCTAAAGCAATTAATATTGAACACCCAACTGCATAGTCCACAGACCTACCTATATTGGCCTCTCTGGACCTAAAGTCAATTGATTGGCGACATTTCTGTGCGCGACGAAGCAAAGGCGATGTCGTGCCGGTGAAAGGTGTTGGGCGAGCAACAGTCCCGCCGAGAACCAGACAACACGGCCTTCATCCAGCAGTGGATTGACGGAGGCCCTGTGCATCGCTGGCGTCTCGAGAAGCGGGCGTATGCGTATTTAGTCATCGCAATACTCGATAGATTCATCCCAACGTGCCAACGGGTCGATGGATTCAAACGAGAAAAGCACACGTCGGATTGTATACGTGAAGATACGCAAACGAGGTTGATTTGTTATATTTTTTTAATGGTTAAATTCCTCCTTTGCCGTCCCCATTCCGTTGTAGTTTCATGAACGTCAAGTGAACGAATTCGTTATAGAATGATAACAACGACTGTATTATTATTATTTAAACGATAACAACTATTTTATAATACCTTATTTTTTTGGGCGCGGCGGTGGGCAAGGGTAAAGTTTGGTTTTATTTAGCAGGCAACAACCCACGTGCTCCAAAGGCGTGCTGTAAATACAATGTAAATTATAAAGATAATACGACTATGCTATTTGTGAAATGCTACGCGCTATATACATAAGTTGAATTTGCTGAGCTGTTTTGAACTCAAGACACCGCCACGTGTTTTATAACGATACGTTACCCACGGTTGTACGAATTGCGTTACGTTCACCATCGCGTTATTAGCATGAAGCGATTGATGTAGAATCGGGCCTTCGTGTTGTTTTTTTTCATATAAAATACACTTTCTTTTCTTCTAAATCTCAAGAAATATTTTCGGTTAGGTCATTGCAATAACTGAAGTTAATGGAATTTTTTTTTAAAGACGTACTGACTGCAGCACAAATAAAAAAAAAATATTTCGCTGTACAATGTGCGACTGGTCATCTCCATTCATTTCACGGTGTGTGATTTAAGTTCATTTATCCGAAAACGTTATCGTTCCAATGAGAGCGAAAGTAGAATGTGTGGGAAGGCGAGGGAGAGTTTAAAAAGGCCAAATCGCCAAGCTGCAAACAACACAAACACGAAATTGTGAAAAGGGTAAACGTGTAAATACGTTGCTTTTGGATTGTGCAGTGTTACTTGCAGTGCGACGACAGATACGGACAAAGAGGTGGAAAGGCTGCGACCTGCAGTGTTGTTGGTGGTGGTGGCTGAACACAGACAGACATAGCGTGGTCGTGGATGAGACGAGACCATCAGTCTGATAGACCGATACGTGTGGCAACGGGCAATCGATGAGTGAATTTCACGAGAACGGTAGCCGTAACAGTAGCGATATAAGAGCGACTAGGAGGAGGAGACTTATCAACCGGTGAGTTTGTGAATCCGTAAGTGCCGGATCATCTTCACTTATAACCAGTGTGGTTACAGTATATATACATCCAAAGACAACGGTACCCCGTGTAGCCTTAACATACTGTTGGGGTAAGTGCTGTTAGCGAGCACCTATTAGGATCGCCACGACACACGAGGGGGTGGGTGGCCATTACGACGCCCGGCCGCCTTTGTCTCCCCGGTTTTAAGCACCGCATCGGATACTCATTTGAAACTGAGTCGACCTAGAGGTGGGCCAGAACCAGTTCAGATAATCGTCACTTGTGTAATCGTCACTTGTGTGACGATTATCTGAGCCGGAATCGAACTCGAGTCGCCGGATTCGTAGCGCAAGTGCGCGAATCCACTTATGGGCGAGGGGGGTTACCTGACCATACTTCAACACGCTGGTCAGAGTTGGTGAATACGGTTTGCATATAACGATAACAATTATTATGAACTCGACGACAGCGATATGTGCGGATAACTTAATAACCATAATATGATTTAATGTGAAATACTCTATCCAACATTTAAAACCCTGTATATACTGTATGTGCAGTATATTTACATTTGCATATGCAGATATACATATCAATGCATATATACATCCACAATGTACGTACACGATATATACGGGCTAATTAAACATAATACTAACTTTCTTTACTGTCTTTGAGACGAAATGAATAGTGAGACGTTTCGGCCGACGAGCCTTTTTTATAGAAACCATGGTATATATATACAACATTCATACATATGTGTATCATCTTACGTGTTTATTCATATATCCATGTAGTGTACAAAACACACACACACACACACACCGCGATGGTATTTCATGTGGGCGCACTCGCCATCGCGGTCAATGCTCCACCGCTGTGAGCCACCTTCACAGTTCGATTCCTGCCACTGGCGACTCGCAAGTTTCTGCAGTGTGGCGTTGCAATAAAAAAATTTGCGATCTTTCCTGAACAGGATTTTAAGAACCGGGTGACGTCGTTGCCAATAGCAGACCATTGTGTGTCCGGATCACGACTCAAAATATCAATATGTGTGTGCGATTACATTTTTGCTTCATATTTCCATTGGCAACTGTAACTGGTCTAATGCAAGATCCCATCGAATGAGATAACTAAACTAAAATTGTAAGACGTTTTTAAATAACAGAGATGCAGAGACTTTTTTTTCATCTCAAAATATATCATGGGTCACAAGCCTACGTTACGAGCCTTTATTTCAATATTCTCCGGAAATATTTGAAAACATTATTTACGGATTCAAACGCGTGTCATGCCTCGTCCAGGCATTCTCAATCCGCTGCTGTATGAAGGCCTCTCCCACGTCACGTCGGTCAAGGATGCTCTTGACCATACTTCACCACGTTGGTCAGTGCGAATTGGTGAAGGCGTGAAGTGAAGGAGGGTCGGGCCGGCCGTTTATTCTGTCACTCGCCACTGATGTCAGCGCAGTGCGCTAACCACTGTACCACCGCTCCAAAAAATAATGACATTCCTTAATGTCTGATAATGATCTTAATTGTCTTATCAGCCACATAAAAATACGTCTGATGACTTGTAAAGAAACATCAAAACATCGTGCTGCAGAGTATCCAATTATAATAACAGCAATCCATTCTGTATTTCGATTTGAAAATGTCATCCTGGCTCGAGACGACTAATTAAATTCATTTCAGAGCCATTGTATCGTATACATATTCGAATTAAGGGCAGTGTTATTGGCGAACGAGTTGAGTTGTTGCGTTTGCCTGCGATTATGCATTCGTGATGAAATGGACTCAAAACGAATGCGCAATATCAGATTCTCTTCCTTACTGGCAACGCAGCGGTATCATGAAACAATCCGTTTCATTCAACCGTGGCCGTTCAGAACGGATGGCGACTACAAATATATATATATAAATATATTACCAAACAACACGCGCTCACAGTTTAATCCGGTTCAAAATAAATACACAAGCTCTGCCGAGTGTGAACAATTTGATGCGTCCTCTGCACGCAGTCACCCAACACTTGACGTGCAAGCTATCTTAATTTTTTTCATGGTACAACTGAAATTCGTGTATTTATATTCACCGCTTAGTCTATGGGGTGGGGGGTAGGGGGGTATTTTGTGACCCCCCGTCCCTCCGCCTCTACTTTAACCACACGTTGACACAGGACACTACTTGGAGGGTGCTCGTGAACGGTGACACCAGCCGTGATGCACGTGGCCAGAGTAATTAACGATAGACTCGTTTAGAGATTTGATGTACACGCACACCCGAGACAAGAGACAAAGATCCCCCATGTAGCCTTTAACAGACTGTTGGGGCAAGTGCTGTTAGCGAGCTCCCATATACAAGGACATACACACGCATGCACGTACACGGATTATGTGAAATTTAATTTGTAAATTCTGGAGGATATTTCTTCGGCAATGGAAAACGAAAACTATACTTTGCACTTTATTAACCCATTTCATTAAACAATATATATGACCACGCGTAAACACAGGACTGTAAGTTGTCAAGCACAGCACGATATTAAATTCCAACGCGTATAATATTAATATATATATTGAGATATCTTGAGATATATTATACGTGTATATCGAGGGATCCCTATATCTATTTTCGTTTTCATATCACAAATATGATCACTGTGTTTATATGCAATCATTTGTGCTCGCCGAAGAATGATGCGCGCCGCTCAGGAATGTTTGAGCTCTGTGCGCCACGGCGGGCACGTGTATACTGTAGGTTTGTGAGATTAATAGCGTTAAGTAAATAGGTTTATCGTGATCATCATCGTGATCAGCCGTGGTTCCAATCCCACTGCTGGATGAAGACCTCCTCGCCCAAGTCGCCGCAGACCTCTCAAGATACCTGGCCATGTGAGAGTCCACCACATGCATTTCTCCAGTTTTTCATTGTTCCGCACTATTAATAATGGGCAGGTAAAAACGCACACGCACAAACACAATAACAGGATTTTTTTTGTTTATTGTGAAGCCTAAGTGTTAAAACTAATTGTAGATATTAACATTCCAGAATTGTATTTCATAGTCTGAAATTAATACACTGCGATGGATAAATGTCGATAAATGTTTGTATATATCGTGCAGTATATATCTTAATGTGATCATTACGTCAGATTTATTTAAAATTAAATTTATCTGTAAATATATCATAGACACAACGTAGCAACTACAATTATACGTAAGTTAATTTTGTTTTAAATTAAAATGTGTTAAATATGTTGTAATCATAAAACAATAAATTGTGCGTATTAAAACGATATGTTTTAACATGTAACACGTACAGCCTGTATGTCAATGCACTGCGCTGGATAAGGGTTTCCCAAACACCTGCTGTTACCGAAAGCGGTATTTGACCATACTTCACCACGCTGGTTCAGTGCGACTTTAACACGGTAATGTTATATTTGTTTGCAATATGAACGCTACGCCATGCAAAAAAACGCAGCGCATGGGCCATCTTCACAGAAGAGCCACATAGAGCCATATTAGGACCATTGCTTGAAACGTCTTCTGTAATATAAATTGCTTTATTTCAAAGCCTCTGAGTATTATTGACGGATGTGTTGATGTTCGTTGTTGTTATTTGTGCTTGTGAATCACTGTCAATGCAGTATCACCAGATAATATTCTAGAGTACCGTTATTTTAATATAAATATGAAATATGCGTAAAAGGATTGTGGATATATTTGATCAATAATTAGAATCGTGAATATTATTAAATGTGTACGCGCTCTCACACATTTCCATAACACGGTAAATACACGTTTTTTCATTCTGTCAATTTATTCTGATAACAGAAATATTAACGTGAAGACACGCTAATCTTATATATATATGTTTTACCCTTCAAAGTCACGCACATACACTGAGTACCATTGACGATTAAAAAAGATGATTCAAGGCCTCCTTTGGACGCCGTGTCGGTGAAGGCGATTGTATTTCCCAACTTAACCACAGCGTGGCACACAAATGTACTAATTCGCCCACGTACTTTGCTGTTGTGATTATTATTATGATCATCATTATTGACGGTGGTAATTGTACAGAGCATCGATAGGGTGAGTGGTGGCGCAGTGGTTAGCGCGCTGCACTTTAAGCAGCTGGGATCCTCAACCCACGGCTAACATCGGTGGTCAATGACAACGGATCCGTTCCACGTGTTGCCCCCCACTTCGTCAACGGGGACTGACGAGCGTGGTGAAGTATGGGCAAAGGACCCCCCATAAAACTCCATGGCGTGGGAAGGCTTTCATCCAGCAGCGGATGGACAGTGGACAGCAAATTATTATTATTGTTATTGATTATTTAACGTTTTTAGCTTAATTGCATTGCCTTCGAGAATTCCACAGATACATCTTAAAGCAACGGGCCGAATGCGTTGTACACGGCAAGTCTGTCCATTCACTGACCCCACGTTTTTAACACGGGGACAATGCACCTCCGTGGAGGAGCGGTGGCGCAGCGGTTAGCGCATTGCAAAAAAAATTCGCGTCCCTGAGTTCGATTCCTGGG